GTGGCTATGGCACGAACTGGGTCGGGAAAAACGGCGGCGTTGCTTGTCCCTATGCTTCAGAAGCTCCTGCAGCATGTTCCACAGGCTGGGGTCCGAGCCCTCATTCTCTCCCCGACGCGTGACTTGGCTGTACAGACTTTAAAGTTTACCAAAGAACTCGGCCGCTTCACAGGTCCGCCCATTTTCATTTGAGTTTTATCATATGTTAAAAATGTAAATGAGAATGTATATGCTTTTTTTCTTTTATGTTGTTTTCTCTTGAAATTTGTTGAAAGAGGGTAGAATTGTGAAAGTTTTTATATTTGATTTTGTGAGAAGTTTAAGAATTTCAATTTTTTGGCCTTTTGGTTTATATTTATTTATGCCCGTGGGCTATCTACTTTAGTCTAGAGCTAATCGTTATGCTTTCTGGACCATAGGACGGAGAAATCTATTCAAGTCTACCAGGATAAACAAATAATTTCTTTGAGTTCAAGCATTGCCTGGGGAAAATTCAAAATTAAAACCACCACATTTTATACAAGTTGACTAGATTGTCCGTCAATCAATTTCCTTTCTTGAAAACAAGACAGAATCAAAAGTTTTTGCATAATTAATTACGTACTTATGCTAACTACTATTATTCTGTGGTTCAAACTAACATGAGATGTTTAGGCCAAAACCAGAACACGCCCTCCCATTCCGGAAATAAAAGTGAAATAATTTTAGTTGTTCAGTGTAGTGAAATTGGTGAACAACAATATGCCTGTGGGTGGAGAACCTATCCTTGAGTTACATTTTTTGACTGATGTGTACAGACTTTATCACACTAAAGCTTCAAAAGCTTTTCCTTGATGCCTCCTGATTTAAATGTCAGCAATTTTGATGCTGTGTTTCAAACCAGAATTCCCAATACTTTGGCATTTGCATTGAGATGCTTCCATTTCAATGATGAGTGAAATAAATTTTTGCAGTCCCCTTTGCTGTATCCATATTGACCTTTATTAGCTTTTCTTTGCAGATCTTCGTGTTAGTTTACTGGTTGGTGGTGATACTATGCAAAACCAATTCGAAGAATTGGCACAAAATCCTGATATCATAATTGCTACTCCTGGTAGGCTCATGCACCATTTGGCAGAGGTTGATGACATGTCATTGCGAACTGTGGAGTACGTAGTTTTTGACGAAGCTGATTGCCTCTTCAGCATGGGTTTTTCTGAGCAGTTCCATAAAATCCTTACACAGCTGAGTGAGAATCATCAGACATTGCTTTTCAGTGCAACCTTACCAAGTGCCCTTGCTGAGGTTGCCAAGGCTGGTCTTTGGGATCCTCAACTTGTATGACTTGATTTGGAGACAAAAATTAGCTCTGACTTGAAGCTTGCCTTTTTCACTGTAAGGCAGGAGGAGAAGTATGCTGCATTATTGTATTCGACAAGGGAACATATTAGTTCTGATCAGCAGACATTAATTTTTGTTTCTACAAAATATCATGTCAAAATTCTTAAGGTACTCTTTAGAGAAGGGGGCATTGAGCCTTCTGTTTGCTATGGAGATATGGATCAAGATGCACATAAGATCCATATATCAAGATTTCGGGCACGAAAGACTATGCTGCTGATAGTGACGAATGTGGCTGCTAGGGGAATTGACATCCCTTTGGTTGATATGTAGTCAACTTTGACTTCCCCCCAAGCCTAAACTTTTTGTCCATAGAGTAGGGCGAGCTGCCAGTGCTGGTCGTACGGGCACTGCCTTTTCTCTGGTCACCTCTGAAGATATGCCATTCCTATTGGATCTTCATCTCTTTCTCTCGAAACTAATTAGGGCTGCTCCCACTGAGGAAGAGGTTTTACAAGATATGGATGGCATCATGTCTGAAATAGACCAAGCAGTTGCTAATGAGGAAACTGTTTATGGGCATTTTCCACAGACAGTTGTAGATCTATATTCTGACAGAGTTCGAGAAATCATCAATTTATCTACAGACCTGACTGCTATGCAGATACCCTGTACAAGGGCATTTTGCCTGTATTCAAAAGACAAAAGCAGAACCATCTAAGGAGTCTATTCAAAGAGTGAAAGGCTTACACCATCAAGGGTTGCATCCAATGTTCAAAAATATTCTAGGCAGGAATGAAACGGGTACCAATAATTTTCTCTTCACTGGTTACAATCAGGGTACAAAGTTGACATTTGAAAATGGTTTTTTGTAAAGAAAGAGAAGGGTAATGTATTCATAAAATGTGTTTCTAAGACATGTCTAGATGTGGGGCAATACAATATTTGCTTAGCAAAACCAGGTTACAGTGGTTTTATGCTTGAAGTGTATGACTTGGTTGATAAGATTGTCTTCGAGTTCACCTTGAATGCCTTAAAAAAACTCATGGTCAAAGTTTGTTAATACAGGCTGTTGTCTCCTCTGTTTTAAGATATATGTTGCTATGTTCATTGTATGAAAAATAACAAATAGAAGTACTGTGCTCATTACTGGTTTATTTGCCTCAACTCCAGACGAAGGTGGAACACCTCAATTGCTCATGCCTTTTGTTGGTCATTTTATTTCAAATGGATAACATATTTACTGCACTGTAACATTTTATTGTATTTTCGAAAATGTATAGGATGAATATGTAGTTTTGAGTTCTCAATTTTCTACTAGTGGTCCTAACAGGTTAAAGGTATCTTGAGTTGAGATAGAGGAGATATTTACTAGACGTGCATTTTTCCACATATGGGATATTGACAAGCCCCCACCCCCGGCTTCTGGGGGCATGTCTGCCAAATGTTTAGTTTAGTTTAGTTTGCAAAATATGATGGATTTCTGCTTTATCTGAAGAGCTTATGAGTGGAATTTAATTTGCTTGGATTAATTATTTTTTTCCCTGTTTAGATTCATCAATGTCAATTGGATCACGTTCTACCCTGCACTTCTACTCCTATGTTACTCATAATTTATAGTTCTTGGATGTCTTCTCTATGTTCACTCAGGTCATCTTCTTGCTTATGTAGGAAGTTGAATCAGAAGACAATAATACTACAAAGAACAAGCAGAAACAAGGTGTTTGTGATCACACTTTTCTTTTTCTTTCCTACTTTTATTCACCTTACTTTGTGATGTAATATCTTGAAGGCTACTTATGTTTAGTCTTGTCCTGTTGAGCATTACTTTAGATAGAAGCTTGGGTGACAATATCTGCAATTCTACCACTAAAATGAAATTCAGGTACGTAACATTTTTAACCTAGAGGCAACTAATAATAATTTGACCATAGGCTATAGGATTTCTGATACAATTGTTCAGTGTAGACTCGATCACTGCAGCCATACAATTTAAAGTGTTTTAAAAAGCCTAGAGCATGATTAGGCGTGGAGGCCAAGTTTCAAACTTTATGAGCTAAGCCGTAAAAAAGCGTTTTATTATTTTTAAAAATTTTAATCATTCTAAAATTCATTTAATAATTAAAGTTAATACATATCAAACATCTAAAATTATGAAATGCTTTATTTACTTAATTAATTCTACAAGTAGTCAATTTTACAATTTTCAAATTTTTGAATTGCAAAAGCTTGATTATTTTTTATAGTTTCAACTTTCAGCTAGACAATTATTTCTTGATAGATATAAGAACTTCGTTCATGCTTTCGAAGTTTTCAACAAAACGATAAGTCTCAAAATCATAATTATTTAATGTAGATAGCACCACAATTTAAATTTTATCTAACTTTTTATCAATAAAGTAATTTAAAAACTTGAAACTAAAGTCAAATAAAAAGCTTTTAAAAAGGGGGAAAAAGGG